TTCTGTTACTGCCAAAGAATTTCAGTCCATCAAATACACAACTATTGCAGTAGCATAACTCCATGATACGGAAATAGTATTCAGTGATCCTAAAGAATGGAAAACTACTTGATTTTTACAGTGGATCCAGGAGCTGTGAATTGTCAAAATTTCTCACTTTCTTTGGATGTTGATTGGTAACTTCTGAATCCACAGGCACGAGGAACAAACCAAATTATGCTGACTCTTCTTTATTGCTTCTCTTTCATGCCAGTTAGAGAGGATTTTGTGCTAGGGAGAAAAACTACCTGTGACTTTCAAAATAAAAACAGTTCTGTGGAGCTAAAGTGCTTCCACTGTACCCACTGCCAGGAATCTCTCCTATGGCATGTTGTAAGGCTGTAAAGGCTTAAAGGCTTTGTAAAGGCTGACAGCCTTTATTGCTGAGTGCTGAGTATGCTACATATTCCTGGAATGTGTTTCAGGGCTGGTGATACATGAGGCCTTGCATCAGGAAGGAGTTTTTCTGTGGTTCTTCATAGGCTAAGCATCTATTCAGTTCTTAGTGAAAATAAACAATGTACTGATTATGATAGTATATTTGTAGGTAATTTCATCTTGCTTAGGCAAAGAAAAAATAGAACATTAAATAATGCTACAAGATAAAACAGTCTTGTTTTTAATAAAAAGGGAAATATAGCAGCAACAAATAGACTATAAATGATGTAGAACTAGTCAAATTGGATTTTTCTGTCTAGTAAATGAAAATATGTAGCTAAGTCACATGGGCACAAACTTCCAAATTTCAAAATATCAAAATTTACAGCAATTTCTCATTATAAAATTCACCTGAAACAATGAAACAAACAAGTTCCTGTTTCAACAGTTTTTAATAAGTCTGTCAAGTGCTACCATTGCTTTTTATTTTTTTTGGCCAAATTCAGTTCTACAAGTCCCAGTATGTTCCAAATCCTTTTGCATTTAATTGGAAATAAATAAATTAAATAAATAGTCAGAAAAGATTTAATTAAAACTTGGTAAGAAGTATTCCCAAGATCAGCCAAATCAGCAGAATTCTAATATATTAATCTATATACAGTGAAGTCTCAATATATCAAAATTATGTGTTCATAAGTCGTGACTAAATATCTAACTACGTGCATAAATCTTTATGTGCTGTGACTTCAGGGAAGCTAGCTTACCTAAATATAACTTCAGTATTTCTGAGACTTTGTTATCTTATCTTGGTATAGATACTTCAGACAGAATTTTATACACATTTTAATTTACATTTAAAATTTTCATATTTAAGATATTATAAATTATTGCGTTCCTCATTCATTTTGTTGATCGTTGATAGTTATTAAGGTCTCCATAAACTGTGTAAATAGAGAGAAGGTATTAAAATTCTTACAGCAGAAATTTTCATTCCTATAGACTGTAACTAAAGTGGGTCCAGTGTATAATCAATGGATATCAAGATGTTACAATCACAAAATAAACAAGAGAGTTAGGCAAAGTGGACTACGATAACAAGAGAGAATAAATAGAAGGCTTACCCTTATGCTGAGCTCAACACAAAACACCAGAAGGAGGGATCTCTAGACAAGATCCTTCCTCGCTGGTAGCCAGCTCTTAAATAGGTCTAAATTGCCTTCACCTGTGCTCCTCTGGCTGACTGATGGCTCGCCTCAGGTGATCAATCAGAGGTTCAGGCCATGACTCAGCAGTTCCCATACAGTCTAGTAAATAATGTATAATTTTCTCTCCAGTCCCACTAATACTAGTTTATCATGGGGAATGTTCATGGAGTCAATAGAGGAAAGAAGGCAGAAAACCTGGGGAAGAAGAAGGGAAATAATAAGCCTGATATTTCCGTACAGTTTCTCTTTTTCTTACACAGTCAATGGAAAATTGTATTTTAATCTTTTTGTTTGAGGTTAGGATGTAGTTTTAAATATCTTAATGTCTGTATTGCTGCTTCCTGCCCATGTCCAAGTCATTCTCCATGCAAAAATTAGTAAGATTTTTTTTCAACAGTAAGTCATTTAATTGACATGAGGTTTGCATTTCTACACATGAAAATTAGTATTACTTGTGCTTTCTATGAGTCTGACATTTTACTCTCCTTCAATTAATTTATTTTTTCTAATCTCTGCTTTATTGCTCCATTCTTCCTGATACTATATTTATTTTTCACGTATCTATGTATGCATTTCTCAAGGAGTATACCAGTTTCTGTTTTTATTTTTATTTTACATTTTATTTTTCTCTCTGAACAGTAAATTCTCTTCAGTGAAGTATTTTGCATTAAAAACACACAAACAGGACATGACCTTCATGCAATACTTCATGAAATGATTTAATTCATCTTTCACTTGTGATAGGAACAATGGTGAAAATTACCAATAACATAACATTTGATATTTACTTATAGACATTTTTCATTTCTGCAAGGAAAACTGCAGTTTTAAGTGTGTAGTGTGGATGCTTTGAACATATTCTCATCCACTGATCAGACCATGAAACTTTTAGCCATTTCAGGGTCTTCTGAGTTTACTTTTTCCAAATATTAGCTGTCTAGTTTTCAATGGATCTAACCTAGACTTGTAGAATGAGAATCAGTGCATTTATATCATTGTGAATCTTTCAGTAAAATAATGCAATTGTAAAAATGAATGCTAGTTTTTTTCAAAGGTAGAATATTTTAAATATTTAATTTAACATCAGCAGTATACCATGTTGCGTATCCAAAATTAATTCTTACTTGTAATATTACTATTTTTAAGACAAACTGTACCAAATGCAAATATTGCTGTAGGAAAAACTTGTAATCTGTTGACTACCCAAATATTTGTCCAAATTTTTGCAAATCACCAACAGCAAGTCATGCAAAAGTTGTTTAACAGAGTCACTATTCAGATGCATGTTTTAAACACAATCCTTATAAACTTAACTAACTGTAGACAGGACTCTACTGTGCTTTATGATTTCTGATTATGAATTCCTCTGTTAGTTCATTTTTAAGTACTTAGAAAGGAAGAAATTTGTATTTTTACAAAACTCAGCCTTAGAATGCATAAATACATGAACGATATATATCTATATGCTGAAAACAAAAGAGTGGAAATCTAATGCAAATCAGTTTAACTAGGAAGTATCTTGTCAGATCAGAATATGGTGTAAAATGAGTTCAAAATTAACTTACATTATGTGTATTACTCCTTGGGCTCTTGCAAACAAATCGCTTTCCTTCTTTGATCTGGATGAAGACAAGTGTCAAGAGAAGGGTTTTACAGAGTTTCAGAACGATCAAGATAGTCTGAAACTGAATAACGTAGGATCCTGTGTGCACAAGAAAGCAGAAGGGAGTTTGTTTTTTACTTCTCTCTGCTTCCTTATAGTCCTGTGTAAACATAATGTAGCTCCTGGCACAGAATGTTCTTTTTTTTCTAAGCAGAGATTATAAAAACTCAAGTTCTTGCAACTTTACTTTGAGGCGTTTGAGACCTTCCTACCTTTTATTTTGAAATTAAGGAAAAGCCCATAATATTTTGGAATGAATGGTCTTTCAGTGTTTTATTTCCATGCTGCCTCAGCGATCTTTTGCAATTAGATATATTCTCATGACAAGTTCTACATGTGCAATAATAAATTGACTGCTTTGTGAAAAGGGGAAAAAATCCCCCCAGAATCCCATATTTTCTCAGAATCTAATTGTAGAAAATATCTTATGAATGTTTTCGTTCAGGTCTTTCAGAATTAGTGAATATATATGAAATAGTGAAATGTCTCAGTATTATCTCTCTAAAAGAATTCTGAGAATTTTTTAAAGGTATCACATGAATGAAAACACTTTGTATTATTCATCCAAATGAAACTCTGTAAAAATGATAGCTAGTCAGTAACACTGTTATGACAGAAAGAAAGAGAGGAGGGATTCTTCGTAGAATTGCATTCATAACACATGAAAAAGGGGATGCCATGATTTTTCATCTAATTCCCTCCCCCCCAACCCCCCCGGGGATTTCTTATCCAATTTAATGGAAATTCTTTTTTTCTTGTTTTTGAAGGAGGAGAAGAAAAATGATGGCTTTGTTATTTCCTATTTTTGTTATTGCACAAATCTTAGCACAGAAAAATAACTTCTAACTGATATGATTTACTCTCTAACATTCAGAATAGTGATATTATTCAGCAATTAGCGTAGATTTTAAAGTACTCATTCAAAAATCCCGCGTGTTATCTAAAGGAGAGCAGATGACATATGAAGATACGACACTACTCTGTGAACTTCTCTTTGAAATACTGAAATATTTTAAAGCAGCAAAATTTTCACATCTTATTAAAATATTAGATTATGAGAAAGAAGTAGCTCACATTAAAAATATGAAAATTCACATCTTTGTTATTCAGACACATTATCTTTCTGAATGAGCTACTTGCTTCCTGGCAGTGCTAATAAGTATTTAGATGGTATCATGTCTGACAATCTATCAAATAGACTTTTGTGGCCTTGTCCTGAAGCATAAGTTGATGTCTGTATTTTGTAATAAAATAATAATAATATAAAGTGCTTGTTGCATATCAGACTTTGGATCCTTTGATTAGCTTTAGGGTAGCAAACTAAAGCAACAGTCTATAGGTTTGTATTAAAGAAAATCTCCCGCAGCATAATTAAAAGCCTGATGTGATTTATTTATTTATTTATTTTAAAGAATACTCTTTCACTGGATTTAATAGTCTAATAGATCATAGGCTTGAACATGATAGGACTTGCTTCATCACTATTTTCTGACTTACAGGAAACACCAACTGGATCAATTTTTGCACATATTTACTCATATGTGCATGCAGTTTTGCTTTTGTATGACCAAAGTGACTACAGTTAGATGTACATGGCTTTCCCATAAACGTTCTTGGCTGTAAAGAGCAGGATGTTATTTTTTTTTCTGCAGCATTGCATTTATTTTATTCTTTAAAATATACACCACAATGTATGATCCGTGTGATGTCTTTAGGTTCCCCATATAGAGACAAGATCACGATAGCAATTCTACAGCTGCAAGAGGAAGGAAAGCTACACATGATGAAAGAGAAATGGTGGAGAGGCAATGGCTGCCCGGAGGAGGAAAGCAAAGAGGCCAGTGCTTTAGGAGTTCAAAATATTGGAGGAATCTTTATTGTCTTGGCAGCAGGATTGGTGCTTTCTGTCTTCGTGGCAGTCGGGGAGTTTTTGTACAAATCCAAAAAAAATGCCCAGTTGGAAAAGGTAAATACTGTACTTTCCTATTTTATTTTTATTTATTGTCTCCTTAAATAAAATTTAAAACATTTTATAGCCAAATGTAGGTGCATATTGATTGTTTATCATATAATACAGTATTTCTATAACAAAGGATCACAGCAAAGTACCCAAAGTCTTACATTTACAGCTTTTAATTTTTGTTCAATATGTTTAATTGTAGCCAGCTTTCAGGACAAGTGACTATTTCTCCTCTTATTCAAGCCTGAAAAAAGACAGCTTTTTACTCCTGGAAGTTCACTGCAGTTAATTTTATGGATGAAGAAGAAATCCGAAACTGTAATGGGAAACAAATTAAACTACAGATAATTCTGATTTTCAAAAGACAAAACTGTCTGTAGCTCAAAGTCAAACTATAAAAACGTGTCTATAGAAATGTTCTTTCTGAAGTTTATACTTGAAAAGTTGTCCTGGTAGCATCTGGAAAAGTTTACATCAGCTTAATTTTTTGTGGGTTTACTGCTGGTCATAATTTATAATGAAATCTGTAATTTCAAACTGACTTGGTTTTGAAAGTTCTAGTTCTATTTTTTTCTGTACTTCTGTATTTCCATTATCACAATATTGTAACTGTGCCAATACTAGTAGTATCTTTTTGAAATTCTTAGCTGAAGTTACAAACTGCATAGAAAATAAACATCCCAATCCTTAAACAGCTCATGTTTAAATCTAAACTCAAACTATATATTTTATTGCTTTGACATGATCTGAATTTTTTAAATGGAGAGGAACTGTTGTTTTTAATTACGTGTTAATTTATTGTTGTTCAAATTTGGAGGAGCTTGTGACCTCTGGTAGTTCTTATATTTCTATTTAGTAAAATCAGATGTAAATCCAACAGTTATATTTATATTTTTCCAGATGCTACTGGAGAATTTTTGTAACTTGAATTATTACTCATAAAATTTAAGATTTGTCTTAACTTCATTTGAGGCCACCATGCAAGTGTCTTTTTATTTATATCTTGTTAAAGACATGTTTTCTAATATTTACTGTGTGAGGCCGTGTGAGGCCACAAGGTCCTAAACACAGTTTGAACATGGGTAAATGCTATTAAAATGTTGAAGGACCATTTAGGTCCTTTTCTTTATGATGCTTCAGACTCATTCAGTTCTGTTAATGTGCTATTTGAATGTTATGTTTCTGAAATGAAATTGTGAGGGAAAAGATACCAAATACTTAACTAACCATGTAAATCTCAAAAATTTATCCATGGTGGATATGGATTTCATATGGGAACCGGTATAATTTGGTTCAGCTTTTCTGGACTTTTAATAGGCACTTAGAAAAAATAGGAATGTTTTGATAATAATCTTGTAACATCAGTTCTTCAGTGTTTTGTAGGGTGTGAATACTTAACGTACTTAATACTGTCAGCATGTTAGAATTAGTGTGAGGAAGAGGTAAACAGAAACTGTTTTTATTTAAGGAGGTATTTCTCCAAGCCCTAAGGTGCTGGTTTTCTGTGGAGTTATTTTTTTTGCTTGTTTGTTTGTTTTTTAATTTTTTAATTTTTTTTGAGAGCTGGATAGAAATAGCAGTAAGTGCAGGTATCTGAATGTCTTGCATTTACTGTATCAAAAAGGATTAATCATAGCAACAAGTGCTGAACTAATTTCAGAATTAGGACTGAATCTGAAGCAGTTGAAAGGGTTACGTTTTTCCATTCTCCTTCCACCTTATCTCCAAAATCTTCCCTCCCTTCCCTTTCCCAAACACACAACTACTGTCATCTCAGGAGAACACACGTAAAATTTAGAAATGTAGAATAAAATTAATAGGAAATGATGCAAATCTCCCTGCATATGTCCTTCCCTGTACCACCCTCACCCACTCTTCTAGAACTCACTGTCTTTCACTAAATGACTTCTCCCTCCCTGCTCAAGAGTAAAAGATCCCCTTTGCCTAGGAGAGAGGAGTGTAGTAGCAGCCAAAGGGGAGACAAGCAGAACTGTCATCTGTCTCCAATCCCTACATCTCCTCTCCTGTGACAAGTAAACCATGCAAATAACAAAGCCTTGGTTATCCCATAGAGACAGAGGAAACACCTATTTTTTCTAACATTTATTTCATTCTTTTAGACGCAGAGTATAATTCTGGCATTTGTGTAAAACTTGTCGGCATTTGAAGACAGGAATGATCAAAGGTCACGTTAACAATCAAGGAAATTAAAGAAATCAGATTACTTCAACCGGTCAATATATTGAGTATCCTGAGATATAAATGAACGTATTAACCAGTTTTCCTCCCTTGTAACATAAGAAATATACAGTTGCGCTTCCATTGTGGCAATGAAAAAGCAGTGCAGATTTTAATTTTATAATCTAGATAATTTTTGAGCATTTTTGATTTCAGATTCCATCCTGGAGTATATATGTAAACAGAAATATTACCTGGTGTGAAACTGTTTGGAGGAGTGATATCTTAAAAGGAATGGAGCTGAGAAAAGCAGCAGACAAAATTTTATTTGCTAAAGAAACTGCTACTTCTAGTAACTGAAGTGGCTCAGAGCATCCGTCGTGATGTGCTCAAAAAATCTGAAGGAAACATGGGACAGTTCTTGTCCTTCTGGGAAACAAACACCAGTAAGCAGAATGCCGCCATGCATTCATGCCACCATAGCATTTTACAGACATAAAGAAATTCCTCTTTTATTCACACTTTTCAAAAGCAAAAATTATTTTGGATGTCATCACCATTAAACTGTTAGTGACATTTGCTCTGGCCAGTTTGTTTGAAAAACAAGTGTCCTAATTTACTAGGTATTTTCTAGAAGATCCAGATCTAATGGATGTAAAACCTAACTAAAACAGTCAATTAAACTATCAAACAAATGATAATAGTAATAATACTAAAACTGCACCATGGACTCACATATACTATGATTTATAGCCATTCAAAACTCACAGTCATTAGCAGATCAAAGGTAGATTTGTTTGGGAAAAAAAAAATAGCAGATGTATATTTTATTATATTCGAACAGTTAAAAACATCAAAAAATGTAAAATGATAGTGTGTGCTACCTTAGAGGAAATCTGGTCAGAGGCTTCTTAAAAATAAGATTCAGTGTGGGAAAGTGAAGGTTAAGGGAGATGAGTTCATTCAATTTGGAAAGGAAGGGCTCCTGGGAGACCTCATTGCAGCCTTCCAGAACTTAAAAGTTTACAAACATGAAGGATATTGAATTTTTGCATGGTCTGACAGTGATAGCACGAGAGGGAATGAGAAACATCTTGGAGCCACATCCAGCCTGATTTTGAATGCCTTCAGGGATGGGGCATCCACAACCTCCTTGGGCAACTTGTTCCACTGTGTTACCAACCTCTATGTGAAAAACTTCCTTCTAATATCTAACCTAAACCTCCCCTGTCTTAGTTTAAAATCATTTCCCCTTGTCCTATCACTATCCACCCACATAAACACTCATACCTCTCCTGTTTGTATGCTCCCTTCAAGTATTGTAAAGCCACAATGAAGTCTCCATAGAGCCTTCTCTTCTCAAAGCTAAACAAGCCCAGTTCCCTCAATGTTTCTTCATAGGAGAAGTGCTCCAGCCCTCTGATCATCTTAGTGGCCCTCCTCTGAACCCGCTCCAAGAACTCCATGACCTTTCTGTACTGCAGACCCCAGGCCTGAATGCAGTACTCCAGATGGGGCCCCAGAAGAGCCGAGTAGAGGGGGAAAATCACCTCCCTCTCCCACTCTCCTACTCCTCCTTTAATGCAGCCCAGAACATAATTGGCTGCAAGCCATTCTGGGCTGCAAGTGCACACTGCTGACTCATGTCCAGCTTCTCATTCACCAGGACCCCCAAGTCCTTCTCCGCAGGGCTGTTCTCAAGGAGATCTTCCTCCAGTCTGTGTAAATGCCTGTACTTGCCCCAACCCAAGTGCAGCACCCTGCACTTGGCCTTATTGAACCTCATTAGGTTTTCATGGACCCACTTCTCCAGCCTGCCCAGGTCCCTCTGGATGGCTTCCCTTCGTTCCAGTGTATTGGCTGCACTGCTCAGCTTGGTGTCATCTGCAAACTTGCTGAGGGTGCACTCCTTGCCATCATCCATGTCATTGATGAAGATGTTGGAGAGCACCAGTCCCAACACCAACCCCCCGACAAGGACACTGCTTGTGATCGGCCTCCACCCTGACACAGAACCATTGATCACAGCTGTTTGTCTATGTCCAGCCAGCCAATTCCTAATTCATTGAACAGTCCATCCTCCAAATCCACACGTCTCCAATTTAGAGAGAAGGATGTGGTGAGGGACCGTGTCAAAGACCTTGTAGAAGTCCAGGTAGATGACATCCACCACTTTTCCTCTGTCCACCAAAGCTGTCACTCTATCAAAAACGGCCACCAGATTGGTCAGGTGCAATCTGCCCTTGGTGAAGCCATGCTGGTTGTCTTGATTCACCTCTTTATCTCTCATGTGCCTTAATGTAGCTTCTAGGAGGATTTGCTCCATTATCTTCCCAGGCACAGAGGTGAGGCTCACCAGCCTGTAGTTCCCTGGGTCTTCCTTTCTACCTTTCTTAAGATCAGCCTAGGTGGTTTATCTCACAGTTATAATGAATGAATCCTTAGCAGTTTGCAGCATTGGACCCAAAGTACACATAAGTAACTGTTAAATGCATACGAGTTATATACAGTATTTTAATCATTACCATAGTTTCTGTTGAAGTAACAATAAACTCTGAATGCTGAAATGTGATTAGCATGAGATACCATCTATGTATTCAGAGATGACAGAAACTTAACTCGTTTATCAAAACATATCATTTACAAAAATTTCAAACACCTTCTTCAGAACAAACCAGCAATGTTTTGATTTTGATAATGTAAGGATGGCAAGAATAGAAGTCTCTGATCTTATCTGGTTCAAAAAGTCATGCAGATTCATTGGGCTACAGAGACCATATGTTATGGTGGTATTTGATCTTAAAAGCTTCAGAAATTGTGTTTTTTCT